TTGGCGGCCGGAGGCCTGACCCTGTGCCGGGACTCAGCTGCCGATGAGTCAGTGTGGTGATGAATTTAGCATTGCCCGGTGGGGCTGATGCAAGGCGAGGGCTGGGTGGGAACAGAAAGCAGCCAGGAGGGCTCTCCTACAAGTCCATGTCCCCAGATTTCATGGATGTGACCCTGTTCCCTTGAGTGGTGCCGCGCCCATGCAAAAGTCCCTCCATCGGGTGCCCTCACCCCTCCCCACCAAGTCTTCATCCTCTTCTTCTCATGCCCCACTTATTTTCGGCCCTGGAGGTGGTGCTGGCTGGCATTTGGCTGAGAGTCATGCCGACATTTTCAGCAGCCAGCCTCCATTTGAGAGCTGCTCCCTGTCCCACCCTGGGGAAGGAAAGCAGCCAAGGCGAGATTTCATGAACACTGAGCCCCTCCCTTCTTTTTTTGTACATTTGGTTTGTCTGCTGCATCCCAAATGGGTACAGATGGAGGTGGATGGGGCTATAACCCCACTGGCACTGCATTTGGGGCCAAGCAGCTACCACAACCATGGGGGCATGTCCTGTTGCCCTTCCCAATGTGGACTGGGGCCTGTGGAGGAGATGGCAGTGGCAGAGACCTGGAGCGAACACCAGGCTTAAAAACAGCCTAAGTCATTTTAGCACATTTTGCAGAGGACCATGTGGGACAGCACTGGGGTTATCTCCCAATCTGCTATCTGCCTTTTGAGATTATTTCACAGCCTCTGCTGTCCCCACCCAGTGCCAATCGCTGGGGACATGCTTGGTTTAACAGTGGCCTGTGGGCAGTCTCTGAGCTCACAAACGCTTGTCTCTCTGCCTAACGTGCCCTTTACCTCTATACGCTCAGGGCAGCCCATGTGGAAATATAACTCGCCCATATTTTCCAAAGTGACTAGTGATGTAGGCTGTAGGGTTTGGATGGTTCACCCTGTAAAGTGTGAGGTCCCTTTGCAGGGACCCTCATCAAGTATTTGAGACTAAGCCGTCCAGAGCTCAACACAACTGCTGGTGGTTGTACCAACACACAGGAGCTATACCTTGGGAATAACGCAGAAGAAGGCAGCAGGAACATCAGTGGAGGAAGACAGAACTGTTCTGTGGCTGGAAGGCAAGGCTTGGGGCTATTATCCTTTAAACTTCTGGGCCACCTGCCCTGGTGTTTTTTTGGTGGATATTTCCACCCAACCTAACAGGAAAACACACAGGTGGTCCTACGCCAGCCAGACACCGACTGCACCCATAATCTATCTTACACTGTTGTGTGGTCCCTGTGGGGGCTGGCACGGCTCAGAGATCCGCAGCCTGCACTAGGGACACTTGGAGAGGAGACACATTCAAGGAAATCAGCTGCAAGCCCAGCACCACACAACCCCAGGCCTGATCCTGCAAGCTTCTCTGCTTGACCCATGCTTAATGGCTAAGAGCCACAGCCCTAAGAAACATGCAGGGACCTCGACCATCGTCCACTGGCAGTGTCCTCCTGCTCTGAGTCCCATGTGGCCAGCGGCGGGAGCTGTGCCCTGGGAGCAGGGAGGCAGTCGGATGCAGGAATGTGGTCACAGGCAGGGGGCTGTGTGTCCTTGCACTCTGGATGTGATACCCATGGAGGGTTTCCCTGCTCTGCTGTTTTCAAGGGAAATGCAGTGTCCAGAGGGAGGGAGTTGCTCTAAAAACTAGAAGTTTGGTTTGCAATAAAGGAATGCTAACTTGAAATAACACTTAGGGAACAAAAAAAGTGAGTTCCCCCTCGTGCACACCCCCTCTTCTAGCACAGATGCCTGGTCTAGAGACTGGCAGCCCAGCCCCAGACAGGAGCAAGTGCCACAGTAAAGGAAAGGAAAGGCAGTGGGGAACAAAGCAGGGAAGAGCATCAGATGAGACATTTGCTATCACACCCTGCCTTCAATTTCCCAAATAAATGCCTTTGCTGGGGCCACACTAGATGGGTCAGGGTAAAGGGGCTGACATGGTAGGGGGAAAAGCTAATGCCCGACGGCTCAGTTCCGTGCAAGAATTAAGGTTTGAAGTCAGGAGGAGATCTCAACCAGCTGCTGGATGGGGTGTATTTTGTTTCTGCTTGGAAAAATGTCTCCTGGCCCACGCGAGGTAGAAAGCTTTCTCCATGAAATGCCACCAGGGCAGGGGAGAGAATGAGAGAGCCCATTTACGAATGCTGGTTTGTGTTGGTTGGTGCAAGGTGAGGTGGGGGACAGTGCTGGGGACTTCTGGCAGAAAGCGTTTATAACAGGTTGATGGGGTTACTGGCAGAGACCATTGGACAGTGAAGAAGCAGCACAGCCAGCCTGACGTGCTTGGCCTGGGCACTACAGCTCTCCGCACACCCGCAGGCTGGCTGTGATCAATCGGAGCAGCCTGTCGGACAGTCGGGGGAAGGAGGAGCGGGTTGGGGAGGGTATGTAAAGGACCTGGGGATATGCATGAAGCCAAAATGAAAATGGGTGCAACAAACCGGTGGGGCCAGAGGAACAAGTGTGTGTGTGCCAGTGAGAAGGGAGGGCATCTCTCTGGGTGCAAAGGGGAATGGGGATGGTTTGAACCAGCGTGTTGCAAGAGAGTCTGCCAAGGCTGGGACTGTCGCAGGTCCTTACTTTCTGCTAAGCCTCAGCCCCCCTTTCTAGCAGGGTCTCCTCAACCTTCATGCAGTACCTGCGTAGCCTGCCACAACTGAAAAGAAGGGGTGAGGGGCTCTGACTGTGTGGCTCCCTTGCCCTGACCTTCCTCCTTGACCATAACTTGGTTGCCTGCTTGCTCTGTGGCACTGCACAGAAAATAACTCCTGTTGGCATTAGGACCCAAGTTCAAACAGGCTTGAGGCAACCACCAGTGAGTTAAGTTGATTTGCGCTCAGCCCGGTTCCTGCTAGTGCACAACTTAGCCCAACAAAGAGGGTGAGCCAAGAAAACAAGATCTTCCTGGCAGTCAGGCAGGAGAGAACCAAGACGAGACTGTCCCAGTCAGGAACAACAGGGGAAGTTAGTGGGAAACATATGGAAAAGGGCTGATGGTGGTGAGCTCTGCCGAGGAAGCCTTCACTACATCCAACCACCACTCGTACCCCCGTCACCAACCATGCTTCCTGTGAGGGGGTCTCCCTGTGGGGAAAGAAGTTCCCTCAAGGTCCATCCCGCTAAGTCCTCATCCTTCTACCTGACCTCACAGTCCTCTCCAGGACACCTGAAGACCCCAGCCCTTGTGCTCCCCCTCCGCCCAGCCGCTCTTACCTCCAGAGCTTCCCCAAGGTCTTACTGAGCTCGGCGTTGTGGAGGTGCGGGTACTGGTCAGCCAATTTCCTCCGGGCAGCCTGTGCCCAGACCATGAAGGCGTTCATAGGCCGTTTGACATGGGGTTTGCTCTTGTTACTTCCATTGACCCGGACAGGCATGGGTACCAGGGTCCAGTCATAGCCGCTCAGCACCTGGCTGACCGCCTCACGGATGCACACAGGGAACTTGTCGTCATCCGCCTCTGAGTCTTGCTGTTCCTTCTTGACCTTCCCCATCTCCCCATTCCCGGAGCCGGCAAGGTGCGAGGAGTTGTCTGATGCCATGGAAGGTCCTGGTGAGAGGCAGTGGTGGTCTTCAGAGCCCACTGGGCTCATCTCCACTTCTGAAAGGTCTTGGTCGTCGGCCATCGTCACTCGTGAGCCCTTTCTCTCTTCCTTCTTGATGGCCTTCTTCTCACTGGGGAAGGGAGGGAGGAAGACAAAAACAAAGGAAAGAAAGGAGAGGGGGGAGAAAGAGAGAAAGGGAGAAGGAACACCAAATCTGAAAGGGACTCGAGGCTCTCCGAAGAGCTGACCACGAGACAGGAGCCGCTCAATAAAAGCACAAGCGAAGCAATTGCTGTGTACACCGCAAAACCCGTGATCGATGGGGGTGGGGATGGGTTGGGGCCCCTGGTTAATTTGGGTA